ACAATATGTCCATCTGCCCGAGTACTGTGTAAGTGAGATACATGGTCGTCCTCCTGGCCCGCGAGTGGGCTGAGGCAGTCAGGACAATTTTTCACCCTGCAAGGAGGTCCGACTGTTCAAAGTTGAGACCAGTGAGCCTGAGCGAGAGAATCCCAAGCCAATGGTGAGAGGACGAGCAGCAGGGGCAGTGTCGGAAAGAGCATAAAGCTTTTGTCCAGGAACGCTCCATACTTATTTTTATGCTCCTTCGTCCAACAGGTCCATGGTCATTTTCCCAGCAGCGTCAAAGTTCTAAATGAACCGAACGAGCCGCTAAGAACAGCACTTTTAAATTTTGTAAACTCCGACTTGCGTCTCCAACCCTTTGGGTGCTTTACTCGTCTCGGTCACGCCTTGTAATTCGAACATGCCCGCAGGTTGATTTCGATTGCGACGTCCGCGATGTCACCCTCTATACATGGTTCGCATTTTGGGACTCCACCAGGTCCTGGCTGGCTGGCTGAGCAGGGTTACTTACACGCTCTTCGAGTATGGTTATCATCGGGGGGACAGATACCTCGGCCACGTGACACAAGTACTGGGCTCCTAAGCTAAACGGTGTGTCCGATTCTGACGTGGAGCATCCTTTTTCAAAATCTGGGGGACTCAGAGGGTCAACCAGTGCGCGTTCCCTCAATATTCATTGGATTCAAGGAACGCATCGGTTTCGCCCAAGATTCATGGCAGCGTCATGTTGCATTGAGGTTGACCAAGAAGACCTCCGATGAGTATAAAATTTTGCGATTCTTGAATAAGGAATGTATCGGCCTGTCTCTGGAAAGTTTCGAGGGTGTTTTACCCCATTTAGACCTCTTGGACTTCGGAGAGCTCTTTTCAGCCCTGGTTCTCGACCATCCGTGAAGCCGTCGACTATATACGCTACTGGCTTAAGGTAATAATACTACTAAAATCGCTTGATCCCTTTCTGCATATCCTGTCGACTTCAACAGGGCTTGAGCTTCTTGCGCAAATACCACATTGTCCACCGCGTTGGCCTGTTCCTTTCTTGCACGGTCCGAAATGTCCCGTCTAAGTGTCTTTTGCCGGACAACAAGAGCGGCAACATTCTAGTCAATCATTTTAGGACTTCCACCGATAACCCTTCGAACGATCTATGAAGAAAACTCCGACGTGATGGCCACTTAGTGTATGCCAACATCGACTTCGACATCTCCATGATATTCCCACCCACTGCGACACGGGAAGAATGTCGCCTTCCCAGTTACCTGGTGGACAAGACCAACCTTACGACACCAGGCAGGGCGAACTCGATTATGACCCGTGCGCGTTTGATGTAGGGTGCCTTGGCGTTCACTTCTGCAAACACTTTCAAGTCCGTTTCCATTCGCTGTGCTGTCCTAGGTAGTGACTAATCTAGGTGCTCTGCCACAGCATTTCACCCGCATTGTTCCAACGTTTGCTCCGCTAATGGATCGAATGACGACGCGTGATATCAGTCGCCGATTTACAGCTAGTCAAGCCCTCGAGTTCTTGGAAAGATTCGCCTCCGAGTTGACTCAAGAGCAACTGGAGTTCCCTGCGCTACCTAGGGACCCCAGCTATCCTCCATATGAATCTTATGATCGTTGGACAGGTCTTTCAGACACATTTATCAAGGATTGGGGTCATTTCCGTGAACCGAAGTTGACATTTCAGTTCAGACTTCTTCGCCGAATCTGTGATTATGAATGGGCTACAAGTTGGTGCAGTGGGTTAGACAAATTATTAGGTTTTGGAAGAATCATTCCTTTTTAGTGACCGTCCGACCGAGGGGATACTGTTTGTTCAGGCGCGGATCTCCTCGAGTCTCTTAGAGATTGTCTCGTGCCTCAGGATGCCACTGGTAATCACGGCTGCAGCGAAAGTGAGGCCGACGGCTCTCACATGTATGTTGTCTCTTCGCAGATTATTCTTCTGACGTCTCGCCAGACAACGGCGCAACCTCTTGAGCTGCCCGCAGTGGCGCGGGATAGTCTACTATGTCTCTGGTTACGCCATCCTCAAGCGCCATCTCCTCAGGCCGGCTACTGTCAGTCCCAGCCACTCTTCTGACCCTCCATCCAGCGTCCACGCATCCTCGTCAACCTCGACTACCTCCCGACCTGCTTCGCCACGGCCATTGTCCCGTCCTACCCCGACTTCCTCCTCGCAGTGGGTGGCACCCACTTACAGCTCCATCTCTCCCTCCATTCCCTCTAGCACCCCGCCACGGCCGCCCCGCACACCCGCACCTAGCCCCTCAAGCGTTTGCGCCCCCAGCGCGACATCGTGAACTACATGTTCTTCTCCCGGAAGAGCTCACGGACACCCGTGCACCGCGCCGCAAAACATCTCCAAGCGGCTGTCCCACTGATCGCGTGGCAGCAGACCCTGCCCCCTCGACATGCCTGAGTAGAGCCGTAACGTTCGTGGGATTGACAACGCAAACTTCAACCTTATCTTCGAGCACTTCGTAAGCCTTAGTCTTCATGTCTTCCTGGTTAGGCTTCAAATAAGAACAGGTCATTTAAAGTCCAGCAGATTTGTATATGCATTTACATGGATACTCAAGGAGTGGCGAGACCTGCCGCTTTCCATCTCGTAGGTTGTATGACTCGCCAGGAACCTCTCACCAGTAGCTTCTGGCTCAAACCATGACTGGGAACTAGCACTAAGTACTGCCCGGCTCTTGACGATGATTAGTTGCAGGGTACCTACAAGCTCATCACCAAATTTGCACTGCTATGTCCCCGGCGATTTCCCAGATAATGCGTTTAGTGACTTCGAAGTATTGCATATTGGGTTCTGTCGATTCGGTAAGTACCATGGTGTCCCTCGAGTATTCTCATGGTCATTCCTTAATTCGTTGCGGTAGCCTTTGCACGATCAGCTTCTTTTAATCTTCCCTTTTCTTTCTTTCTTTCTTCTTTTTAAGTTCCGGCTTTGTCCCTCGAGACCCATGTGACGTGGTAGGCTCCACGCAGGCCACGGAACCCTCCTTGTTGCAAGAGCTTATCAACAGTAATGTACACACGATAGGGCAGGGTCCCTTTCCTCTGTCCAAGTAATACCACCAATCAGTGCTAGTCGTGGAAACGGTCTACTTCACAGATAGTGCTTTACAAGGACACCAGCGACAACCTCTTCTTCCGTTCCATCCTGTTTACCCTTCTTGAGTTCACTCTGCCCGTAGGCAGCCACCCGCGCCTTCCGATATTCACCGGACGTCGGAGGCATGAATGCATCGCCCTTGAATCGTTCGCTGACACCGACACGCTGCAAGACAGGTGAGTCCATCACAGGACTCAATCTCACGTTGTCATCCGCGAAAGCAAAGTAGAAGGCACCAAGCCTGGTGTATCCACGTTGATCCGGAGGCGGCTGGACAACGCGGTGAATGGTGGCCTTGTAATAACCCCCCGAGAGAAATTCCAAACAGTCACCAGCATTGATGACCTGCAAAATGGTGAGCTCGCAATCGTACGAGGGAAGAGGGACATACGAGCGCATTCTCGATGTGTTTGATCCAACGCCATTTTCCATCAGGGGATTTGATTTGCAATCCCGAGACAGGCTGGCTCCACAAGATGGTAAGGCTTCCGACATCTGGACGATAATGGGCCATAGGAAATAAACGGATAGCTGCATTTTCTAACCTGTGTGTCCCTTAAGCCACAGATTTTTAGTTTTATTTTCATCCTCCTCTGTGCGCGGGTAGCTGGGTGACAGTAGAAAACATAATTGCCTAGAAAGGAAATATCGACTCACTATTTCATCAAACGAACCCAAGTATCATTTTCCGCATCGAAACCGTGATTATCAACAAAGATGTCCTCAGGAAGCTCCAGACCGAGCGCAACCAGCCTGATAGAGTAGAAATAGGTTGAAGTGCCATATATGAGAGGAAGAGAAGCACGGACCTAAGAATAGGGTGGAGCACATTGAAATGGTTGTGTCGTGCGAATGCTGAAATTTCAGGAAGAAACGGGCGCAGAGCCTCGGGGTGTGCACGCTTCGTAACATCACGATGGACTGGAAGACGAGTCACAACTCGGTGTGAAGACGACAACCAAGAATATAAATATATACCGTTGTAATTTTCTATCTGATCTCTCACACCGTTATCGACATGCTGGATAGCACCATTAGTATTAACCAATGTGAGCTTATGCACTATTGCGAGGATACGAACCCAGTAAGAACGAAGTTTGTAGCCTTGATATGATCCCGTCTGTTTCATTTGACCGAGGTACTGTTCCTTCTCTGTCTGGCTCACTTGCTCGAAGGGAATATCGGCGATGTCGAACATTCGCGTCGTCTACGTATTGCATGTGATCAGCTTTTATTTGAACCTCCGTGTGCACACTCAGATGCACCTGTTCCGGTGTGTAACCGTGGTTCACGACGTAGAAGAATCCAGCGGTAGACAGCGCATCTCGCACTTGGACGGAGAGCTGTGCGCGACCCTCGGGGGTAGCAGCCTTTGAAATGTCAATGATTGCGAGGTCAGCCCATTCCACTGTAATACTGCATCAGTCTTGAAGCTAGGAGGATGTCATAGTCTATGTCAATCCTTGCTCACAATCGTAGCTGGTAAATGGAGGGGCAATGTAGTGGGGTGCACTGGGAAAGGTAGTTGCAGGCATGATGTTGGATGCAAGTGTCACGCAGCAAGCCCAGGTCTGCTGGTTTATATATTCCGCCGGTTCCTCTATAGTATATTACTATTACACGTTCTGGATTCGCAGCCATTCAGGCACTGCACGTTTTCAGAAACCGATGGTTTTGGCAATGGCCCTCGGCTTGCGGCCCGATAACCAGCTATGTCGTTCGAATGAGTGGCAGATCTAGGGTTGAGAGAATTCTTGTGGTGGCTAGTCTAATTCATTTGCCTGCGCTGCGTGGTTGTTCATGTTAACAAAATAATGCGTTCGTAAGTTAAGGGTGCTTACGTATTCCCGGACTCAAAAAATGAAGAGTTTAGCCTCACGCGGGGGTCGAACCCGCAACCTTGAGATGACAACTTAGCAGCTGTAAGAGTCTCACGCTCTACCGATTGAGCTAGCAAGGCGACGAAACAATGCGACGCCCGTACACTTATGACTACATTACAGGACCGGAAGTGATGAGGATTGACCTATAGCCATCCTTTGGAAGTCCATACCGGAGCTTCTATGCAATGTGTCCTGAGCAGCTAAGCACCTTTACTAAAATATTCTGAAAGAACTTGATAGCCAGGGGTTGACAGCTAGCTGTCGCATTCAGCAGACCGATTGCAACTTTATTCTTTCGATTTTTATACCTATGGTCACTTATATTTGCCCCGTTTCCTAAGCTAACAGTACAAACGGGTATTCTGCTCGAACGGCTAGCTAGTGCAACGATCGATAGTGTTGCGTTATGACCGGGTCAGTACCTCTTTTGTGAAGATCATGGACGCAAGTGAAGGCCCAAGGCCAGGTACCCCACGAGGACAGCACCCTCGCAAAACACCGAATACACTCATCTTCATGGACCCACGGCTCCATTTGAACAGGGCATCCCTGAAGAATGGTATGCCCTTGGTCCTTCCGACGGGCCACGGCAAGCAGAGACAGAGGAGATGCGCAGACGCAGGGTAAGATTACGAGTCGTGGCAAGACTCATAATCCACGAATACACGTACCTAGCAGCCCGATTATACACCAGGTACTTACAAACGATGCATACAACGTCCGCTCCATTACACGTTCCTGCACATAGGTAGACTCAACGAGCCCAGGTCCCGGGCTGAAGATCGCATGCATCATACCTGTACGTACCCACAAGAAAACGTGTGCAAAACATGAAATAGCGAGCGTGAGCCAATGCCGTAGGGTGTTCGAAACATCGCGTGCCCAGATATTGTCCGTGGGACGTCCAGGTCAGTCCGTATGTCGAAACTTGACGCCATGTCGAGCGACTCCTGTTGCGTGCGTCAGATGCGATTAGATGCGATTTGCATGAGGGACGCGGCGTGGAATACTCACTCGATATTGCCGAGCGAGAACCGCGCGCGTCGCACCTGTATATTGTTGCAGCGACGTTGTCACATGACGCGATCAACCGCTTAGTCAGACATCGTGCTGTACAGTACCCTAAGTTCGGAGTGTAGAAGCCTTACTTGCTTCTTCCTCCGAACTCAGATCGGAGTAATATACCTGTACTGCGTTTAACAGGTTATGGGCCCCGTGCTCTAAATCGAAGAAGAAGTCGCAAACCATGTCAGATTCAGAAACCGAGCACCGCACTAGCAGCGTAAGACTCACGAGTTCCAACTACAATGTATGGGCTATCACACTGCAAGGAAAACTCATGACCGTAAACGCGTGGCGAATAGTCACTGAGGAATTCAGAAGACCGACCGACGCAGTAGAAGTATCGAAATGGCTATTAAAAAGAGAGGAGGCAGCTGGAATCCTACTCAAATCTCTCTCGCCAACGCAGTACGTCCACGTCGAAGGCGCGATGGACGATCCTATTGAGATGTGGAAGAGATTGAGAGCCGCACACAGATCACAGGTAGCGAACAGCCGCTTCCACACGATACAGAAGCTGTTGAGCATACGAAAAGACAACACGGAATCACTCACTGATTATATCACCCGCATCAACGCGGCCACCAACGACCTCATAGCACTCACACCGAGCACGCTTACCGTCCGAAACATCGTGGATGAAGTTGGCATCCACGCTGCGATCACAGGACTCGACCAAACGGAATACGGAGCATTCACCTCCTCCCTTCTCTTAATCAGCACCCTTGACCGCGCGACCGTATCCACAGCTTTCCGCAACGAGGACCTGAAGCACCAGACGTCCTCGGCCTCCACAACAGCCGCCCTCGCCACAGCTCGAGGAAAGAAGTCCCCCATCCTGACGTGTACCGCGTGCAGGAAGCGGGGGCACTCAGTGGATCGCTGTTGGATCGCTCATCCGGAACTTAAACCTGCGCGATGGGGGGAGGAGAACGAGAAAAAGAGAAATGCGCACCAGGCAGTGGAAAACGGGCAAGACGGAGCGGCGCAGGAACTTGCTGGAAATGCGAGTCTGCACTCCTCATCCCTGCCCATTTCCACTAGCGATGCTAACACATGCTGGAACACAGACACGGGCGCTACAAGCCATATGACCCCACACCGACATTGGCTTCGGGACTACGAACCCTATCGCGTGCCCATCCACCTCGCAACCAATGAGATCGTGTATTCAGTTGGAAAGGGGCGCATCTTGTTTACACCCATCATAAATGGGAAGCCAGCGCAAAGTATCGTCTTGTCAGAAGTCTTACATGTACCCATGCTTCAAAATAATCTACTCGCGGTCCTTCGCCTTACCACGCACCACGGTTTTGTCGTCAATATTATAAAAGATCGCATTTCTTTCATGCAGGATGGAAATCTGCGGTTTTGTGCGACAGTACGAAACGGAACAGGCTTCCTTGTCGGGGACACGATCCCAATCCTGGAGTTCGCCCTAACGATGCTGTGGACAGATTGTTGCTGCACAAACGGTTAGCTCACATCGGATTGGCGTGCCTGGACAAGCTCCTTGAAAACGGTATGGCAAAAGGAGTAAACGTGAGCTCGAACGATAAAATTCCCAAAATTTGCGAACCTTGTATTGCTGCAAAACAGCATCGCGACCCCTTCCCAGGGGCCAGTAACAACCGATCCTCCAAACCGCTCAACCTCATCGTATCTGACATACACGGACCTCTCCCAGTCAGGACGTCATCCAGACACAGATACTGGGTAACCTTCACAGACAGCTGCACAAGATACAGATGCGTATACCTCTTGAAAAACAAAGGGCGAGGTCTTCGACGCCTATCTATCCTACGAGGCGCTGGCGGAAAACCAACTGAACCTGAGAGTAAGGAGATTCAGAGATGACAAAGGAGGCGAATACATTGGCAGAAAATGGGATGAACACTTCCGACGCTGGGGAATAATTCATGAGCACACAACTAAAGGCACCCCACAACAGAACGGGATCTCCGAGCGTACCAATCGCACCCTCATCGAAGGAACGATAGCGCTCCTGCATCAAGCTCGTCTCCCAGCTTCAATGTGGGGGGATGCTCTACGACTACTAGTTCGGATAATCAATGCTACACCAACGTCCGCATTACCAGACATGACCCCATATGAGGCCTGGCATGGCCAAAAGCCAGACCTTGGGATGTTGCGCGTATTTGGCTGCACTGCCTATGTCCACATACAGAAGGATGAGAGAAATGGACTAGAACCACGATCTCAGAAATGTATCTATCTTGGATTCGAGGATGGCTACAAAGGGTGGCGCTGCCTTGACCCTACCACAAAGCGTTATATCATATCACGCGACATCATTTTCGATGAATCGGAGTTCCCGGGCCTCTCCACCAAAGCCTCCGACTACAGCTCACTCCTACCCACACCCGCTCCATTGGAGAGAAATGTCGTCACCCTGCCAGATGCACCAGACCGAAATCCCGGAGATGATGCGCTCGCTCCCGAGCCCGATCCTGCTCCTGACCCTCCGGGGGACCACCAGCCTGACCCAACTCCAGACCCAGTCATCCCTGCTCCACCTGAACCAGACCAGGCCCTGCCTCTACCGCCAGCACCTGCACCCATCGATCAACCCCGTTGCTCGAGCAGAGCCATCTCATGGCTGGACTACCGGTGCCTTAATGACCCGTTCCTGAGACCGAGGCCACCACCTGATCACGACGACCCGGGCCCTGAAGGGGGCGCAGCAGCCAGTGCATCAATTATTCAGGCCTTGGAATACATATACAATGAGTCTGACATTGCTAGAGCGTATACAATCTCACCAAACGAAGTTGAACTTGCATTCAATGCCACAATAAAAGACGACCGTGTCCCAAAGACATTCGCCGAAGCAATGCAGCGCCCTGATGCACCAATATGGAGAAGCTCAACTGACGCAGAGATCCAAGTGCTCCTGAACAACGGCACTTGGGAGTTAGTATGGCTACCACCCGGAGAGAAAGCCATAGGCTCACGATGGGTTTTCCGAATCAAACTCAACTCTGATGGAACATTAGACAAATACAAGAGTCGCCTAGTTGCAAAGGGTTATAGGCAACGGCCAGGCATTGACTACGACGAGGTTTTTGCTCCAACGGCACGATGGGCGGCACTACGCACCATACTAGCTCAAGGAGCGCTTCAGGGAGCGTACATTGAATCCATAGACATATCCAACGCTTACCTGAATGGAATACTGAGCGACAATTCCCAGATATACATGGAGCAACCAGAAGGCTACCATCAGGGGGGTGCGGACTGGGTATGCAAGCTGAAGAGGGGACTCTACGGACTGAAACAAAGTGGGAGATTGTGGTACGAGCGACTCGGGACAGCGCTGGAAGGCTTGGGATTCAAGCGCCTCCAATCAGACCCGAGAATCTACGTCTGGACAAGTGATGAGACCAAAATCATCATACCCGTATTTGTTGATGACTTGACACTGGTATCGAACTCAAAGTCAGAACTCGACCAAGTGAAGAAGGGATTGGCCAAGGTATTCAAACTGAGGGATCTAGGTGAAATAACGTCGCTGTTAGGTGTGGAGGTGGATTACAACCGCTCACAGAGAACGCTGAAGCTCACACAAAAGCAGTACATCGGAGAAATTCTCGAGAGATTCCACATGTCAGACTGCCGCCCTGTGACCACGCCGATGTCCCCAGGATTGAACCTAAATGCAACCATGGGACCATCAACGCCTGAGGAGATAGAAGAGATGTGAGGCCTACCTTATTTGAATGCAGTCGGAGCGTTGAACTATTTGGCCATCGCGACCCGCCCCGACATTGCCTACGCCATCGGATGCCTCGCACAGTTCAACTCGAATCCGGGCCCAGCTCACTGGGCAGCAGTAAAACATCTCCTTCGTTATCTAAAAGGGACCACTGATTTGGCACTCACTTTTGCGCCAAACAACTCTACCGAAGCGTTCCAGACATGGACAGACGCCGATCATGGAGGAAACCCGGATAACGGACAGTCGACCTCAGGATTCCTCGCTAAAATCGGAACC